ATTTTGTATGCATGTCTGATGCTTGTCTTCTCCAGGAAAAAGAAAATGTGTGTTAAGTACGGTGGCCCTTTCCACTGAAGTATAGCACTAGCTGTACATAAGATTTCCATTTGATTTGCTCTTTATCTCATGCAGTAATCTACAGGAAATATAAAGCCGCCTGCAGAAGCATAGCAAGTGCAGCCAGTTCATGGGTAGAAGGTTGTAAGGGACCATCCTAACTACACAGCAGGCAACGAGGAAGGGAGGAAAGAATGGGAACACTGAGGCTGGCTGGGAACACTGAGGCTTTTTACTGAGTTTAAGGCTTCTCTCCTGATGAGGGAATATGATTTACAGCTTGTTAAAGGGATTTCAAAATGTGTCACAGTCAAAGCCCATACAGAAGTTGAAATAAATCATTTCATACAACAGTAATAGAATGTGCTACTAGGCTGCATAGTATTCTTTGGGGAGCTGCATAAAATGATTATAAATCAAGGTGGAAACTTCAGAGGGACTTGGAGAAAGTAATGAGTGGCTGGAGAAAGCAGTAAAATGAGAACTTTCATGGCAGCACTGTTCAAAATGGGGCTGTTGCTCATTTGGAGAGAGGAGCAAAAAATGCATTAGGAACATGTAAGAGCAGAGCAGGGCTATGGTTAGGAAAAGGAGATGGAGTTTGGAGAGGGAGATGTACTGAGAAGCCTCTAGCCTGCTGAGCCCTGAGCTCCCCTTCTATGTTAAGAGCCCCGCTTGAGTATCGTAAAGTGGTGGGATGGATTCAGTAGCTTCCCAGAAGCCATGGACGTTTTTGTGTTGTGCCCCCCTTTGCCATGTATCGCAGACTGATTAAAAATGTGGGTTGGAAGGGGCCCCTGGAGGTCGTCTAGTCAAGCTTTCCTCTCAGGACAGGACTGCCAGCAACACTAGATCAGGTCAACTGTGGCTTTGTCTACCTAAGTCCTGAATGAATAACTGCAGGAATTAATTACTGAACAAGCTTTTCCTTAAGTCCAGCCTAAAGTGAGAATTTCAGTACAGAAGTTTGTATTTGCAATTAGGGTTGAGAATGTTCCAAAAAACCAATTAGTAATTTAGGGTCTTTTTGATCATTAACAATGGGGGGGGGGGGGGGGGGAAGAAATGTTTATTTTAATTAATTTCCATTTACATATTTTCCCTGTTTGTCACGTGCATAATAGTACTAGTTGTTGAATGCTGCCAATGTAGCACTGAGCAATTCCTAATTGGCTCAATACACACATTTGGACTTGATGCAGAGTCAAATGTATGTGTTTGTTCCTTTTCTTATCTCTAACAATGCTTCATTGCTGTGGGAGAATGAAATCTGGATGTTTTTCTAAATTGAGTGCTCTTGTAAGAATTAACTAAGTCTTCATTAATGGTGCAGAAATCTTCATTAATGGGGATAAGACAGTTGGCAGAGACAGCCCAGTTTGGCATTCCAGATCTCAGACTGCACTCGCAATTTAAAATACAAGTTTGACAAAAAACACTTTGAATGAAGGCGATATAGGTCCTCATCTGTCATTTCCTTTTCTAAATGAGATTTGTGCAGGGAATGCAAAACACTCAGCAGGCAATAATGATCCCTGAACAGAATCTTTTTTCAGTACGTGATTTCACTTCAGATCATGTTAATGCTGAGTGAAAATTTAATGCAGAACGAAGGAGTGCAAATTCCTGGAATAGCAGAAGTTGATCACAGGGCCAAGATTCATTCTCCAGGTAGAAACTAGCTTCAATAAGTTTAAACAACATTGTAGATCAGAGAGAAAGGTGAAAACATTTTTATCTTTCTACTAGTTCCTGCGTTTTGGATTCAAAACAGGAATATGCCACATGTTGAGGCTACCCCAAGACAAATTCATTTATCACTGAAAGGAAGGCCTGCAGCATGAATGTTGTTTTTATTGTAGTCAAAGTTGTTGCTAATTGATTAGTGCTCCCTATCTGTCTCACTTTTTCAATTTTTTCTGTCATCACCCATCACCATCAGAGGCAGCAGCCACTCAAGCATGAATGTCATCACAAATGTGACCAGCCTTGCTGCTGTGCTGTCTCTTGTTCCCTTCAATGCTCTGTGCAACTGTGCACATCCAGTTTTCCTTTTGGTCTGGTTTTCAGATTATTTTTTGAAGTGGATCAGCCTCGCAGAAGCAAATGAAAAAAATCAGACAATGATGGTAGGACTTGCTGAACAGAGATCCAAACGGAGCCCTTTCCCAAACCTTCCCAAAATTGTATTTGGTGTATATGAATTCATTCTTACAGCTCTGCATCTCTAAGTCCTAAATCATTCCTTAGGGTGACCCGGAAGGCAATACCGCTTAGCTTGACAGATGCGATTTTGCCAAAATAAAAGAGGCTTTTCTTATATTTTTCTTTAGAGAGCTAGATGCTGCCTTTCATTCTTTTTTCACTACAGTAATTTCTACTGTGGGATTGTTTCTTGTATTTGCCAGTCTCTCTTCCAGTGATAATGCTTTACAACCACACTGCTGCTTCTCTTCTTGGCCTGAGAGGTCAATCATGACGACCCTTTGATAAAGTCAAAATTGAGTCTTTACTCACTCAGTGAGTTCAGACTGCCAGCCCTCTTTGTAAAGATTGTCCAGTTCTTCCTCCTTAATCCATCACTTTCTTTTTGATCTCTAATTTTTTAAACTACTTTGTAATATGCAAAAGCAAGCCACCACAATCTGAAATAGGATTTTCATAAGCACCCTTCACATCTTGAAACAGTCGTACTAACGTGCGTAGGAATCACCATTTTTGTAGCCTGCCTTAACGCTTCTGGCAGCATAACCTGCAGGTTTCGAAGCTGTAAGACGATGCAGCTCTCCGATGCTATTTTCAGAGCAACGGTTGCTATTGTTTCCCTGGCCTCTCTGCTGCTTGCTGTGCACTGCAGAAGTTAGTTGTCAGATTTTTATTCACCCCTTTTACTATAATTGCGTGCACAGGCCAAAGAAGCGCTGATCAATCAACAATGGTCTCTACAAGAGCATGTCAGAGCCTGTCCGTATAATTTTTTTTGATTGTTTGTCTGTCTCTTTTAGTCTGGCTTTCTAGGAAAAAGAAGCTGAAACCATACTCTCTCCCCGAAACAGCTTTGGAATTTACTTGTCCGTTCCAGCAGAACGGCAAAGATCTTTAATACCCCCACTCAGAGAAGCTACAGCAAGCATTTAGTCCTTATCAGACATCACAAAATTGACATCGAGGATAATACTGCAATTCCACTATCATCTGGAGTTTATACTCTCTTAAGCACCAGAGAATTTAATCCTCAAGCAAGACTTCTCTCTTGTGTGGATTCTCTGTTGCCTAATAAGGGGTCACCTCATGCTACAGATTCAGTATAATTCAGTTAAAACAGTTAATCAACTGCAAGATGACAAGTACATGGGAAACAGACCTTCATAAATCCCACTTGTGACAAAACTATTTCTTTTGGGTTTTAACCAACACTATACAGTTCTGTTGCAGAGATATGGTGTATGCTTATACTTAATTAATTTGACATAAAAATGGTAGTAATTTACCATTTTCCTAACAAGATCTGAGACTATTTGGTTAACTTGAAATGGATATATACATAAAATGTTCACAAGTATTTAATTCTATCATGTTCTTTGCAGCGTTCTTAGTATATATGTGAGAACAAGAGGAAGTAGATTTAATTAAAGGGAATAACCTTTAACCTCAAGTTCACATGTACTGCCCTAGGCATATTAAGGCACTTCAGTGTAAAACAAGGACAGCAGCAGTTCTGCAAAGTTTAGCTTACTCATCTGTGAAGTAAATATTCAATGTGTCATCTTTCAGAAGCAACTGTGTAAACCAGAACTGTAAAATGAGAAACCTTTTTTGAGTAGTCTAGCATTATTTGGAGTTTTTGGCCAGTGAACACGTGCTTGTGAGCAGTATAGAGAACTTGTCTGTGCAGATACCCTCTTCTCAGTGTTTATTGTTGCTCCTTATTTATGTAATGTTATTCAAATAAAAGGAGGATGCAGTCTGGCCAAGATCTGCACTAGTGTGATGTCTCATCACTGCCATTACTTTGGCTCCAGAGCAGATGTGGTAATGTGAATTCCTTCAGTCCGCTGCAGTGGCTGAAGCTAGCAATCCTGACCGATAAACTGGGAACTGCACACAGCAACAAAAATAGGCATAGTGCATTTTAAATGGCAAAGGTTTTCTCTATGAGAAAAGAGCATTAATAGGTATGTAAGTACAGTACCTGCTATAAGCTCTCTAGGTACGTGTGAATGGGCCAGAACACATGGAGTAACTATGTAAGCCTTTATAGTTAATACCGAAAAGATCCAAAATGTTAGGGGTCCTTTATTGTAAGAGGGTCAGTGACACCTGCTAAAATCTCTCTGTGGGTATAGCAAGCAGAGATGGTTTTAACCAGGGGTTTGTGCTGATGCATTCTGTTACTGAACCTCCTCGAACGGGCATTTCCGTGCTGGATGAGATACCATTAAAAATGTACCTTTATTACTGTTCTGCTGATTCAGACTGTGTGGATAAATCTATCATCCATTCTCGCTGCTTAATAACCAGCTGTCATAGTCCCTGTAATGTAACACTTTCATTACATTCCCAAGTAGTACACACAAAAGGATAGCAAGTGATCCTGGAAATTCTTCCACAGATAGATAAATGGTACTAATGATAAAGTAAGTTATTATTATTAGCATTGTGATGTTAATGATAATTATGGGCAATTATCTGCTCTTGAAGCTGGCTCTTCCCTTTCTGCGTAGGTTTTTTGATTATTTTTTTTGGTGCAGAGGAATTCAAAAACACACCCCCACAGGCTGCAGAAATCTGAGGGAAACAGTCCATGTTGTTTATGGAGCAGAAGTTCTCGGGAAGCAGGCTGGATTAGGAAAAGTCTGTCTGGTTTACTAGTTTAAAAATGTTGAACAGTGGGGAACATACTATACCGCAAAACTAATGTTGTTTACGTTTTCTTTTAGGAGCGTCTCTTGATGAGTCTTTTGCCCAGGAACGTTGCAATGGAAATGAAGGAAGATTTTCTGAAGCCTCCTGAAAGGATTTTCCACAAGATTTACATTCAAAGACATGACAATGTTAGGTAGGATTGATGTAGCCCATGAAATAATTTAAAACAGGTTTTTTAGTACAAAATATAGTACAAATATAGTGACATGCAGTAGCAATTAGATTTTAGAGCATAAAAAACAAGCAGTACGGTGAAGATTTGTTGTTTATGTGCAGGAAGAGAATGGGCCCACGAGGGAGCCTGCAGAGTCTTCTCAGAAGATAATGTTGAACCAATAAATGGGTTAGAGTAGTAATGCTGGGAGGCAGGAAACCTTCTGCAAATGGGTGGTCGTTCTGTATGTGCTGTATTATATTCTTGGCGAACAGAAATACTCCTGTTGCATGCTAACAACAACACACTTATACTTTCCTGAAAATAAGAGAGATTGCTTTTAGTGCAATAGTTTTGCTGGAAAATAGCATGGAAACGTAGAAAGAAAGTGTGGTGTAAACTTAGGAAAATCTACATCAGTTCTCATCATATGAGCATTTCTTCTCAGGGCTTATTGGCTGAGGCCCAATTCTACTTCTTGCTCTTGTTTAGTGACAGACCGTTCAGCAAGTCGCCTCATTCATGCTGATAGTTGTTAAAGTGGAGTGTATTCTCCTCATTTGCTATTCTCTGTCCTTCTAAATGAGTTCCTCACAGGCCTTGTCTACTTGAAGCTGTTTTATCACACTGCCTGTAGTTGCATTTTCTGTTAGTGTCTTGCGTCCCTGCACAGGAAACTGTTTCGGAGAGGTTTGGGTAATGCCACAGAGCTGCTGTCTCGTGTGACTGCTGTGTCGTGTGGACCGTGTGCTTTTGCAGAGAAGAGGGAGTGAACTCCCAGAGCACCTACTCTTCTCTCTCACCCACCGGGAAGCTCCTTCTTTTGGGGTGCAGTCTTCCTCCCATTGAGTTCACTCTCTTATTTGCAAGGATCGCTGCCAGGGGACTGAGCAGTTGAAACTGAATATATCTGTGTCAGGGAATTAGAGATTGCTGTGATGGAAGCGTTTAGTAGAATGACAAATCGGGCAGGCTGTACACTGTAAAACTAAACATTACTGAATTAATTCATTAGCAACACATTTCTTGCTAATGGTTAAATCTTACATAATATTAATCATCATCACTACATATGCAGACTCTTAGTCTTTATCACTCCTATTGTAAATTAGCTGTAAGTGTACGACACCCTGGAGCTGACGCCGCGTAGTTAGCATGGATGGCTATGGTCTTTGGTAGCTCTTAATTGCTGAGGTCAAGACCAATAAGTAAGATATGTTCCCTACCTATTTAGAGAGATGAAGACAACTTTTACGTCCTGAGTAATGGCAGTTCAGTGCTGTGCTGGGTAGAGTTAGGAGACCATTCCCATATTCTCAAGACTTGACCCGGTTATACCAAGCGTTCCATAAAACAGTATTATTAAAACAAACAAACAGAAAAAACCCCTTTAGCTCTAAATTTCTGGAACTTCTAATCCCAAAGCTATGCAGTGGAAAATGGAAAATATGCTGCACTCTTACCTTTTTCTTTTCTTTTTCTCTTACCTTTCTTTTCTTTCTCTTACCTTTTCTTTTTCTCCCAACAAACATCTGAGAATGTCAGAGCATCGTCTTCCAGAAAGGACAGGCTGGAGGAGGTAGGCATGCAATTAGTGAAGTGCATGATTTTCCCACTCTTTGCCTATTAAAAAGAAAAAAAAAAGACAAAATAGAAAACCCCACCAACAAAAAACCCATCTGTTTCAAGCTTCTAAATATCCACCTCAAAAAACAGAAAATCATCAATCACTAACTTTGCATGTGAAAAATAAATTATTCACACAGCTATCTTCTTTATCTTCTCAGATCCCAGAAAAACACAGGAGGATGTATTAAAGTAGAAATATGTATACCTATAGGAAGGGAACCATGGGCTAGGAAAAGATATTGTTGCTCCAGGAGTGTGAGAAGAGACCCCGTAGACAGCAAGGAATAATAAAATATGCAGTTATAGCTCTTGGATAATGTTATCAAAAGATAGACTTTCCAAGTCTCAGTGGAAGAAAAGAGGGTTAAAGTACGTATGTTCCATGGAGCTGTCAAAGGGAAAGATTTCCAGAAGCAGTCTCAGAAGAATAAAATGGATGCATGATTCCTGGAAGTGAATGCAAGGTCTTGGAAAGTCTTACAGGGATGCAAAACAAATATAGCTGTGATGGTACAGTGTGCCCAACACACGGAGTCTGAGACGGTGCACGTTATACTGCAAGTCTCATTCAAATCAGCTTAATGAGATCTCCTGCCCACTACCTTCAACTGAGGTTATGAGAGAGGCATGTTAGAGAGTAGAGAATTAGAGGCCTTTGGATGCCAGCATACCTTTCAATGTTTGGCAGCTTTTAGTCATCATTTGTCACTGAGTTCGTTGTTTCTTTTAACCTTTTTCTGATGTACTTTTTATTTAATTTTTTTAGCTTGCTTGGGGAAACATTGTTAACTATTTGCTTTTATTAAATCAATAAATGCAGTTTATAATGAATTCTCTGGAAATCTACTAGAGCATTTGTTATGCACAGCAGTCCTTCCCTTGCCCTCCCTGTGGCTTGACAAATTGGACCATATAGCAGCAGCGTACTTTCTTGATCCCCCATAACTGCGAGAAAGTCTTTCTGCTATCCTGCAGCTGCAGTTCCTCCGCTGGCCTCGCTGTACAGAGCAAACTCTGTACAGCAAAATGGCAAAAGAAACTGCATTCCAGAAAATGGGGCAAAATGGAACATGGGCCACCTTGTTTTTATACAGGCCCACTAGTTCCTTTTCAACATTTCGAAATGACTGTCACATTCATTTTCAAATACTTAGGGAAAAAAATTAAAGCACTCTTTTCTCTTGCTCAGACATACTTTCAAAGGCTAGCTCTTGAGAAGAGCTAAGAAAGGAGGAGTCATGCTGGATCTCAAAGAAGGATGTTTTGTAGCGTCATGGTAAGCCACGCAGGTAAAGTTCTTAACTTCACTGTAGGGCAGGCTTTGACAGCACTCAGTGTTTCCTCTCGTTATATTTCAGATCTACCATGGCAACACCTCTGATTTATCATTTAGTTGGCAAATATTTTACCAGCAATCAAACAACTGGTAAATGACTGCCTGCAACTGAGGAGAGCGAGCCTCCAGCAGGGAACCGGGAGCCAGCTTCTCCGCACTGAGGGCACAGCTGTCCTCAGGCTTGTGTTGCACTGGGGCGAGCTCTTCCAGGTCTCCAGTAAAGAAAGGCATTTCGTTTGGTCACAGATAACTCTTTAGGTATAAATAATTTCAAACCTCCAGCTTAGTCCCCAGGGTTTTATTTTTCTTTCTGCAGTACAAAGCATTAAATTCCTTGAACCTCAGTTGAAGAATTCTGGGTGGAGCAGGGTCCAGTTTAAAACTTGCTTTATATTTCCATGTGAGGCTATTCGGTGGGCATCAATGAATATGGCCCATAAAAGAGCACAGAGTAGTTCTGAATGGTTCTGTATATGAATATATGGCTGTACAGCTCATGGAACTACAGTGTTATCAGAGAAACTTGGAGGGTCCCCTATTAACTGCAGTAGACTGTAGGTTAAAACCCTTTTCTCCTCCAAAATGATCACATCTAGCAAATGAAAAATAAATTGCATTTTGAATGAAAAGTTTTACCAGCTTCCTGGAGATAACAAAAAACCTGGCCTAAATCACTAACTAAATAATAACAATTTGCCTGCTGCCGCTGTTGAAGAATTTTACAAATGGAGAGCTATGAACATTACTTGCTTAGGTATCGTAATTCCCTTGCGAGACAGATATATTTAAGGCACTGCCAACTCAGTCTTCCGCAAGCCAAAGGAAGGCAAGTTTTAACACCCAAGAAACTTAGCTCACTTTTTCTTTTCTTCTAACTTTCTATTACTTAGGTTTTTGAGACTTGCTTGTTAGGGAAGGCCAATGTACAAGTTTGTAACTTGGGGAAGATCTATCATATAATTTTATGTGAACTGCCAGAAGTGAAGAGGAAGGCTGTAAGCTTGAGCCTTCCAGGTTTCTCCAGTTGCAGTGATGGAATTTTTAGTTCAGCATTAATAGAAGCAGACCCTTGTTTGCACAATGTTTGTGCTTACTGCTTGTGCTTTGCAGAAACAAATGCTAATGCTCCACACTAATCTGAAGTATTATCTGATCGCTTCAGATATTCCTTTTCTTCCTCTCTATTTTCTTTTTTTTAGCTTTTTATTTTTAAGGTAATTGCTCTGAATATTAGAATTTTGTTTAAATAAACTCTTAATCACCTTTGCATTTTATTTTTTATGTTCCTTCCCTTCCTGTCACTTGGTTTCTCCCAGTACAGCTTAGTAGTGATTTTGTCATGATTTTGCAGAGGAAATTAAATGTATGAATAATCGTTTCACACACACACACACACACACACACACACACGCACCCTCCTAATCTGTTACTTTTGAAGACCATGGAAGCTCTGCGTTCAGCATCAGTTTTATATCAAAAGAGAAAGAGAGGCTCAAATTCACCTTGTATTTGGAGGCAAACTAATGGAACAAGAAAAGGTTGTTATTCATGCCAACCCTGTGAATGTATTTGTGCCTGTGCAGGAGGGAGAAAGAAATCTTTCTCAGCTAAGTTTAATTATCTCCAGTGTAGACTGATATGCGTAAAGGATAAGGATTAAAACCAGAAAATATGGAAACTTTCCAAAGAAGAGGTCAATGGAATTTTCATAATCTGATGAAAATCAGTCCTTTACCAAAAAATTTTTCACTCTTCTCTACAACTTTGCTGCTTCTTTTCCTACATTTTGTGCGGAATACCTGATTACTACCAAGTGGGTAAATCCTGACCTTGAAGATATGACTCTTGTGTCATTCAAAGAGGAAAAAGTATATCTTGTGTATCTACTGCCTTGCAAAGTTTTTGAACAGGATTGCTGAACAGCAGGAAGAGAAGTGCCTGTGTGTTCAATGGAAACAAATAATATAAGGCAAATGCAGTATGCATAACAAGACAAGCAATTGCACATCCCAAA